CCATCCATCCATCCATCCATCCATCCATCCCTGTTCCTCCATCCATCCATGGCCCCGTTATTTCCAGAACACTGCAGGAATCCATGAACAGTCCCTGGCTTTTCCTTCTGAAGGGGTGACATCTCCAGGGACAGTGTTCCCTCCCCGTGGGACGAGTGGTTTTGTGGCACCCATGGACATCTCGGGGCTCCACAGCTTGAGCTGAAACCTGGGGAGGGACTGGGGACAAGGGATGGAGGGACAGGACACAGGGAATGGCTCCCAGTGCCAGAGGGCAGGGATGGATGGGAAATTGGGAAGGAATTCCTGGCTGAGAGGGTGGGGAGGGGCTGGGATGGAATTGCCAGAGCAGCTGTGGCTGCCCCTGGATCCCTGGCAGTGCCCAAGGCCAGGCTGGACATTGGGGCTGGGAGCAGCCTGGGACAGTGGGAGGTGTCCCTGCCATGGCAGGGGTGGCACTGGGTGGGATTTAAGGTTCTTTCCACCCAAACCCAATTCCATTCTCTCAGTGGCTGCAGGGTAAGCAGATTCCAGTTTTGGAGGGCTGGTGACACTCAGTACAGCAGAACTGGGATGGATTTTCCAGCTGAGCCAAGAGGTTTCGAGGGGAAAAGGAGCAGAAGAAGGATCCTCAATCACCTGACAGTGCCAAAAATCCTGGATTCCCCGTGCTGGGGAGCTGCACCCACCCTGGAGGTGGAGCTGGGTCTCCTGGCAGGTTCCTGGCAGCGATTCCAGCCCTGATGCTTTCTCCCAGCCCCTCCTCGTGCCATTGACCCCAGAGATCATCCCAAATCTCCCCTTCCTTCCCGGCCATGGGGGATCTCCCACATGACTCACGGCTCACGGTGTGGAAAGCATTAAACTCCATTTTTGTGGGGTTTTACCTCTTCGTGGCTTTCAGGATGACACCAAGGGGGTCGATCCCAATGGAAAACTTCTCCTCTCTTCCCAAAACCATTCTGGGCTCACCTGGTCTGTACATTCAGGCACAAGGGTGCGCTAGAACACCACGAGGATCGGGAGTCACAGARCCCTTCTGCACCTTTGGGTTCAGAGCGGAGCTGACACATCCCRGGATGCTCCTGCCCCACTCCATGGAATCCGTGTCCATCCTGGGCCCTTCCATGGAATTACATCTCCGTAAATGAGGGGAGCACGAGCAGAGCTGGGCTTTCTGGGGCTGGGACCAGACAAAAACAAATCTCTCACSATTTGTGGGGTTTGGGGTCAAACGCCTGCAGAGCAAAACCCCCTTCGGCTGCTGGGGATGGAGCTGGTGGGACAGGGGGTGGAGCTGGAGGGAATCAGGAGCCGGATCCATTGGGAATTGGGGTTGAAGCCATTGGGAATCAGGAGCTGGATCAGTTGGGAATCAGGAGCTGGATCCATTGGAAATCAGGAGAAGGATCCATTGGGAATCAGGGGCTGGATCCATTGGGAATCAGGGGTTGGATCCATTGGGAATTGGGGTTGAAACCATTTGGAATCAGGAGCTGGATCAGTAGGGAATCAGGAGCTGGATCCATTGGAAATCAGTTGTTGGATCCATTGGGAATCAGGGGTTGGATTCA